TGATGAGTCAAGTGTAAGTGGCCTGGAACAGGACTGGGTGGAAATGCATTTATGGCAAAATTCTTTTTGCCAAGTCCTAAACAGAAGATGAATAATTTGAGTTAGTTTATAGAAGTTAGTACAGGTTCGAACTTGTGTCTTTCAAGGGCGAATCCTCAAGGCCTGAGGTCAGTTTATTGCTGCTATTTGCTGGTTTCTCCTTTTATAAATTATTTTTAGACCCGGTGCTGGGCAACATAGTTTTGGCATCTGTCCTTCAGGGCCACAGGCTTATGTGACAATGCTGATTCCCTGGGCTTTCTCCTCACAGCGCGCCCGACTGGATAACAACATCTCTAGATACCCTGCAGCTAACGCGTACACTATGCCATCAGTCTTTATTTCGAAGAAAGACTTCAGTAATTCCTGTTCCAGCATGTTCCAGATGCCAAGGTTCGCAAAAGCTTTCAAAGGTGGAACTCCTGCACCAAACTATTACAATGTAAGCACCCTGCATATGCTTGCTAAATATACATCAAGTGAATGGTTTTCTAAAATAAAAGGAAGCGGGAAGCTTGGGGAAAAAGCATTTTAATGCAATTGGTAGTAAGCCTGTTAGGTAGTAAGCCTGTTAGCATTTGCTGACTACCCAATGGGTGCAAACTGTACAAGACTGTACAAGACTCTTAGGGGGAATTTGCAGCCGCCGGAAGAGAAGGAGGGCCACGATGAGGCCGTGGGAAGCCCACTGCCCTGACAAACGCTTACGTTAATCACTCGTGTGAACTTTCTGGGACACATTTTCTCATCTGTCACAATGTGTATACTATTTACCACTTTATCTGCAGACATCATTCTTTCACTTTTTAGGTTTCTTCTAGGGAAAATAAACTTCTATCCTTCCATATCAGAAAATTGGGTTTTTAGCAGTGGTGCTTTGCCAATCACAATCACTTTGTATTTACTGGAGCAGAATGGGATGGATGGTTCAGAGACAGCTTCAGGAGGATTTGGTTCAGCTTTTGTCTCCGCCACTTTCTAACTGTATGGCCTTGGGCAAGGCCATTAACCTTTCAAGACTTACGTTATTTATTTATTTATTGTATTATTATTATTTTTTGAGACAGAGTCTCTTGTTGCCCTTGGTAGAGTGCCATGGCGTCATAGTTCACGGCAACCTTAAACTCTTGTGCTCAAGCAACCTTCTTGCCTCAGCCTTCCGAGCAGCTGGGACTATGGGTGCCCTCCACCCACTAGTTTTAGAGAGGTCATCTCTTTCTTGATGGTCTCAAACTCTTGAGCTCAAGCAATCTACCTGCCTCGGCCTCCCAGAGTGCTAGGATTACAGGTGTGAGCCACAGTGCCTGGCAGGACTTAGTTTATTGATCTGTAATAAGGGGATACATGTCTACCTCGTACTGTTCCATTAAATGAGATAATTTATACTGGGTGCTCAGCACAGCAACTGGCATAAGAGAACTATACATGGAGATTGGCAGGGCCACCTTCAGACAAAGCACATCACCTCTTGAGCCATAACTGTAAAATGGAATTGATCATATTTGCCCTACAGGGTTATAAGAGGAAACTTATAAGAGAAATTACAAATGGGCAAGGACTCTGAAATGCATAAGC